ACTTTGTCCCCTACTCTAACTTCAAGCAGCTTTTTGAATTTGACGATTAATACATGAGAAGTCTTCGGCCAAGGATTTATTTCCCCGGAAGGTTGTAACTTTTTATCTCAAGAGAACTCGTTGACAAAGTGGTTTCTCTTGTGTGAGTTGATGGGTTGTTCTATGGCAATAACTCAAACCCTCTTCGTGGAACCGATCACTGAGATGGATAAGCTTCGTACTAGTTTGAAGAATTCGAAAGTTGCCCTTGCTTCGGCTCTCAGCAAAAATGAAGAGCTTTCTGCCGAACTTGACAAGCTTAAGGCCGAGCGCACGAAACTGCATGGCTTGGTAAGCAATTTTCAAGAGAAGTTAGGTGAGGCCGAAGCATCGAAGGCCAAAGTGGTGGGGGAGTTCGAGGACAACTTGAAGAGGTGCCTGCTCAAAGAGACAAAGCTATTTACGATTATGCGTCCTACAAAAATGTTGCCGGGGAGAAGATTTACAATGAACATGAAGAGGGCTTTAATCATGCCGTTCGACAGGCCATTCGTTTCCTTGATGTTCCCTCGGACTTTCAATTTGACCTTGGAAAGGATTTTTACAAGGGAAACTTCATGGATTTGAACCATATTCCTGATGAGGCCACCATCGATGATGCTAACACCCCTCCACTTTTGTCTCAAGGTGCCGAAGATAGTGCCGCTCCAACTGATGCAAATCCTCATGTTTAGGCTTTTACTCTGTTTCATGATTGTTATTATGTACTTTTATAGTTTGTACTCCACCCATGTTATGAATGTTACGTCTTGATATTTTTCGTTTATTCTTAACTTCAAGCCTAAGTCATGATCATGATCAAGTATTATTGAAAAGAATTCATGGTATCGAGCCAACGTAATTAATAAGCTTTTTGGCCAAGGAGTTATAAGAATTGAAACTTGAAGAATCTTTGGCCGAGGGGTTATATAAAAATTTAACCTTGGCAATTCTTGACTGCGGACCATTTAATATATAAAATTTTTTATTCCTTCGACCGAGGACATAAAACCATTTTCGACTATTACTTGGCCGAGAATCTTTTTATATGTAAAGCTTTAACTTTTGGAAAGTTGGCCGAGAACTAATATATATAAAACATAGTTTGCGAACATTTGGCTGAGGACTGAAAATGGTTTTCTTAAATTTGATATGTAAATTTAATTTTTGATTCCTTCGACCGAGGACATAAAACCATTTTCAACTATTACTTGGTCGAGAATCTTTTTATATGTAAAATTTAAGTTTTCAATCATACTTGGCCGAGGACTAATATATATATAAAACTTTGGCTTTCAAAACTTTTTCACAAAGAAATCTTTTATACGTACAGCTTTATGTTTCAATTATTTGGCTGAGGGCCAATATATAATTTTGGCTTTCAACACTTTTCTAGCCGAGAACGCTTTATATTCCTCGGTCCTTTCTTATATTTGACCTGGTACTTATACCCTTATCTGGTATAATATCCTCTTCTGCGTCTTAAATTGATTGATCATATCTTATGATGCAATTTTAGTGAGCTTTTATTCGAATTGGCTATTTCAGGAAGGGGGCTCGCCAGCCTGAACAATTAGACCAAGGAACGCAACGCACGTAGCGGTGACGCTGACATGACAAATTTTAAGATTTGTTAGTATCCGTTACACTTTACACGGGGTTTTTAATTTGAAAAAAGAATATACATTGAAAATTTATGGATTTTCATGACTTTGGGCGGAGTAGTAGGAACTTAACGCGATTTTAATCACTGGGAGGGAAAATTTAATAAATAAACTATAAAAAAAAAAGCATGGAAAGAATTCAATAAGAGCAAAGCAACTCGAGTATTTTTATATTCTCTTTAATTTGCCATTTGATTTTCACTAGAGATGATAATAGGACGGATACTAGTTACATGTCATCTTCGGTTAGTGTAAATATTTATGAATTTTTTATATATTCACATGTATTTATGAGTACAGGTAGATATTTGAAAAATATAAAATTTTAAGCAAAAAAGTAAGAAATACAATTGATTTTGAAATATATATTTATATTAAAAAATTGTAACATATTTATACTAAAATAAATAATTATAACACATATAATTGATAGTATTTTTAATATTTTTTCAAGTGTGAGTATAACTGTATAAGTACTTTACTCTGTACTATTTATTAAGGAGATTATTTATTTAAAATTTATAGTAAATTTTATCCGTAAATACAAAATCTAATTTTTCACATTGCAATGTGAGTAATGTCGGTCTCTTAATTTTTGATTGCTTATTTTAGCTTTTGTAATTCAAATTTTACCCTACAATATCAAGCAATTCAAATTGTACCCTACAATATCAAGTAGTGCATAAATAAACTAAGACTTAACATTTTTTTACGAGATCTTCAATTTGAATAATGCGTTAAAAAAATCAGAATTTATTTATTTATTTTTGAACATTTTAACTATTTACAAGATATAATAATTACAACGTGAAATATTTATTTCAGCTGTAAATTTTTTTGTTATACATAGAAAATACAAGCCCTTTTTTTGATAATTAAAAATTATTAAATTGCAGGAGAGACGTTCATTAAATAAAATATGAAACTATATCTATTTATTTAATTTATAAATATATTTTTTTGAATCATAAATTTTGTTAATAATATAGGATATGTATCAATTTACAATCAATATAAAATTAAAAATCTATCTTTTTTTTTTTTTACCATCAACATAACTGAAAGTAATCCATTAAGTCAATCAAATAAATTAAGGATGAATAATAAGTTAAATATTTTCTTAATAATTACATTTTTATTAAAATAAATATATTTTATCAAGAAAGAGTGGTTGCAGGCGAGTCTCCCCATTGCCCTGTTAAATCCATCACTAACGAGACCCATACAATTTTATAATTTTAATAATATTTGAACAGATAAATTTTTTTATTTATCAAAAGAATATGATAATTAAAATGTATTTCCATCGTTTCTCTTCAACTTATTTACTCGATTCTACTGTATAAGTAAGTAATAATCAAGGCATTCAATGAGATTCCCATAACACAAACATAATTCTAACATTTCTCATCAACTTATTTACTCAGTTCTACTTGTACCTAAACCCAACTTTGGATACAAGTCATAATGAAGGCATTCAATATGAAATTTAATTGACAAACATAATTCAAGAAAACAAACACAGTTCAATAGTTCACGTTAAGTAGGTTATTCCTCGGTCCTTTCTTATATTTGACCTGGTACTTATACCCTTATCTGGTATAATATCCTCTTCTGCGTCTTAAATTGATTGATCATATCTTATGATGCAATTTTAGTGACCCTTTAATACATTCACGGATTCACCTCCACTCATAAGACATCGTAAATCAAGACACTTGGTACATATTATGTCTAATTCAACATTTTCTTAAAAGAAAAAAATGGTCACATTCAAAGATGTGATAGAGAACAGGAGTGCTGAATAGCGAGTACTCGGAGAAGCGTGTAGGTTGAAAATTTTTTTCTATGTGGGACATGACACATGGACATGCAAAGATTGAAAACTTCTTTTTTAAAAAAAAATAAAATTCTAGGATATCCACTAAGGTACCGTTACAGTCTCTAATTTGTTTTTATTGTAATTACTTGTTTTATTTTTATTTTAATTTAGTATTTTTAATAACTTATCTTTATAAAATTTTCTATAACTTTATATTATTTTTATATTTTTTATATTTTATCTTAATATAGTATTTATTATAATTAAATAATTTAATATTAATATTTTATTAATATGTTTTAATTTTTTTTGTGTTAATTTTTTAAATTTATAGTATAAATTAGTTTTTTAGTTGTATTATTTATTATTTTTCTTTCGTATTTTAATATTTTTATAATATTATTATACTTTTTGTTTTTAATTTTTTAATTCTCACATATAAATAAAATTTATTATAAAAATTAACCTTTTAATAATTTTTTTGGATTAGTCTTTATTTATTTTTTATAAATTTTTAATCTAAAATTTATGTTATTTTAAATTTTTTTTTAAAATTTATTTATTCACATAAGTACTATAGCAATTTTTTTTTTTTTTAATGTGGGACTCTGATGACCCTCATCCTCCTCCTCATGTACCATTTCCATACATATAATCACGCCATACGACAAGACATTCCCTAATGTCAGTCCTCTACAATGAGACACAAATAGAACTGGGCCTAGTTTTCTACACTTTCCACGTTTCCATGCCTGCCCCTCATCATGCTCTTGAATTATACACATAGGGTTCGAAATGATCACTACATGATAAACATGTTATACAATGTTGACGTTACAGTGAGTTTTGCTATTATCGTATGTGTACATCACAGACACATATATGAGTATTGGCCACATCAACATCTATCATATTGTAATATTATATAAGGTTATCCCAAATCAAATTACTGCAGGGAAATCTTTCTGCTGCTGATATGGCACACTGTTATTTGCTAATTCAAAGATCACCTAGCAATAACATTTACATAAGATAGGGAGAGCAAACCTATGTTTTGTTCACGAGGACCATGAGGACCACCCTAGGTACTAGTTAGTCTCCGTATCATAAGTCTATTATATTAAATTAAATTATATTTTATATATATATATATAGAAAACAGTTATGACTTAAAGTGTGGTTACTTTGTCATTTTTTTTATATTTATGTTTTTGATATGGTGTAGTCATTGGTTATACTAGTAATTAATTTTTATCGAGAATTTAGTTTGTCATGTTTAATAAAAAAAAATTAATTATATTTTTTCATACATAAAATTTAAATTCAAAATCTTATTTTAAAAAACTAAACTTAGTATTACTTCACTTGTTAATAATTACTGTGTTATTTAATTATAAATTATCATATATAATAAATTTATTAATTTTTACTGTAAATAATAATTAAAAGTCATACTAATTATAATTTTTTATTAATTGACACGGTAACAGTACATATTTAACAACATATATTAATTTAACCATGATAAGAATTATCATGCATTATAAATATGAAATTGGACCACTTATGATAACAACGTAGGTAGAGAGATGGAGAAGGTGAGCAAATGTGTTTTAATCCATGCATGTTGGTGAAGCTAACAAAACACACAGGTGAGATCATTTTCAATGGCTAATTAGTCGTTGCCAGCACCTTTAGAGGAATCTGAGATCATCTTCTGTATCATTTGGCTTGTCTCTTCCTCCGACATTCGGTCGTCTTTACTCTTAACTTTCTTATACGCCTCAAAAAATTCCTTGTTCTCTTTCTCTAACTCGTTCCATACTGCATTTATAGTATTTATTAAATATTTTTGCACATAATATGTTCATTCAGCGTACGGATGCATGTTGTGTGGTTCATACAAAACATGACTGTGATACCAGCACGTGCATGCTGGTGTTTGAATTGTTTGGCGCGTGAAACGTTAAGAAAATTGGTAAAATCAATTTTTTTTTCTTAATTTTTGAGAGACCGGAAGGATGCCAGCAATGGAAATTATAGTTGAATCTTAGACACGTGTTACATTCAACAATATTCTTGATATTTCTATCTTAGTCATATCATATGTACTAATTAATAATAATGAAGAAGATAAGTACATCTAGTGTCCAAACTTAAATATTATCTATTAACACACTCTGGGAAAAAATATTTCTTCTTTTAATACAGACACTAGGTGTGCTCTTACCGATAATAATAATAATATCAATAATCTCTTGTGAGAAAATAATAAGAAATTAAAATAAAATAAACATTTTTTTTTTAAATTAAAGTCAAGTCTGTAAAATTTAATTCATGTATAAATTAATTTATAAAAACTAACTCATTTATTCAAAAGTTAATTTTAACTTATACATAAATTAATTTTTATTTATTTGTGGAAGAAGTTTAATTTAGTTTACCTTATTTTCTTTTTCTGGAAGGGTTTATTAGAAATCTATCTAAACAAGGCCAACATCTCAGGCAAAAAAAAAATATGAAGATCTACATTGATCCCTAGTAATTGATATTTCTTTTCAATCAGGTCTTACATATAGATTTTTTTTTTATATAATATTTCATTCATCAAAATTAATCTCAACTTAGTGATTGACTGGATTTTCTCAAATCTATTTCACGAAGAGTGATAATTGACAAGAATTTAATTAATAAGAAATTATATTATAGAAGTTAATTTATGATATTCGAATATAGTATTAATTTGTCTAATTCAATTAGAATTTTAAGATGAATCTAATCTCAAAATATAAAATATTTTCAAGTGAAACATAAATATAGATCCATGTGTTTAAAATATGTTCGGCGAAATGTACAAAGAATGAACTATATGATCAAATCAATATCAGTCTTGTTTTCTGCTTGCAAAGTGAGTCCTGAGTGTAATAAGATTTAAGGTGAGTAAGCTTTGTGAATTCTCAATACATTCTCAAGGCCAAAAACTTGTACATAAGATTTTAATCGGTTCAACTATCAAAATGAATTAGCTACCTCATAGTATATATAAGTCAGTCAGAGACATATATATAACTAGGAACAAATTAAAGTCAATGATCTGAGCACATATCTTTTGAATCTTGCACGATTTGAAATTATATATATGGTGTGTGATCTTGCATGTGTGTACGTGTTGTTTCTAGGGGATATGTTATTTTATAAAACAGGATGACTTGAAATGAAGGAGAAAAGAACATACCAGTAGATGTTATGACAGGCTTAATATTTGCATGCTTTGAGAGAGCTTCCATGCATTCTTCCTTTGACATGTGAAAGATCAAACACTTCTCAATCAGATGCTGCACCTAATTTCATACAAGCATGTCACCATGATCACAACAGGGTATGGTATATATATACATGATCAACACAAAAAGGATATATAGGAATGAAGTTGTAATCAACTAGCTTTATCTCTTACCATATGAATGTATGAAGCAGAAGAATTAGAAGACTCTCCCATGATGGATCCTAAATCCTAACACTAGCTAGTAAACTTGACAGAGACTATTATGTGTAGTATGTTTGCAAATACAAGTGAGTAACAGTGTGACAAGAGATGGAGGTGTAAATGCGATGATATGAAGAAGATTTAATGCAGACGCAAGACAATAAAATAGAGTATATTAGTGATGTGGGGCCAAGAGTCCCACGTGAGAGATAGATGATAATTGGCTGAGAGGGGATTAGAGGAGATTGTAAATGACCACTCATTTGTCCTCTGCAACTGCCAATAGAGGAGCCCTCTCCACGTGATTTGTGGGACACCCCCACATACAATTCCTTCTAACAGACAAACTCCTCGATCGTCAATTGATGCCACAATTTTCAACCATTTTTCAGTATAGTATGTCTTTCTAGTTAACATCGGAACATGTAAAATTTGATCGTTCCACATTATGCATCCAAAAAATTGCCCATGCCTTGTATTGGGTTCACCTATCGGTCCATACTCCATATACCACCATTTTTTCATTCATATAATCTTTAAATAATTAAGATAATGTGTACAAAAGGCTATAAATTCGTGTTGCATGTATGAGAACTTCATATGTGATTAAAACATTGGAGTGGCAACACATGAACACCACTAATTTACAAATATTCTATCAACACTTATTATTATTATTTTTTTTATCACATTACTTATCTCTCTCATATATATATATATATATGAAAAGAAATTTGTTTATTTTAAGAGTAATTTTATTTAAATTTATTTTATTTAATAATTTATATTATACATCAGATTTAATAATTTAATTATTAAATTTTAAATTCTTAATATATAAATCAACTTTACCAATTTTTAAAAACTTTTAAAATTATTTAATATTTTATTTTATTAATTCAAAATGATGAATAATCAAAATTATTTTATACATTGATTTTATTTAAAAGTTTTGAATTGACAAAGTTGAATGTACTAAATATAAAAAAGTTAGAATAAAATAAAATTAGAATTAAATTAATTGCATTGACTTTATTTAAAAAATGAAAAATGAACAGTAGTTGTATTATTTAATAAAATTGAGAGATTAAATTGTATAAATGAAATAAAAATTTAAATTATAATATTGTTTTTTTTTAAATTATAATATCACTTTAACCATAA